ACAGCGGAATGTAATTATATTATCAGAGTTATGAATAACTTAATTGAACAGCGGAATATAAACACGTGAACAGAGTTACAGCGGAAATAAATATCTATTAATGACATGATGAAGCATTGATATATAAACTATGACAACAGATTATGAAACTTTCATTTATAAAAGCATTTGGTGAGAGTTATAAATAACAACTACAATCGCAGCGTAAAGGAATCCTCGCTGAGCCCACCAGAAGAAATCCACACATAAGAGTCAGCTTTAGCATCCACCTGTCACCTGCAACAGAGGGAATAAAACCCTGAGTACTCAATTATACTCAGCAAGACTTACCCGACAGGAGGAAAGAAAAGACTCCAAGGATATGCAAGGCTATCTGGCTCGTGGGTTTATTGTATTTGCAAGAAGCATTACTAAATGTACGTCCTTATATTCGATTTTTATTAATAGCCGCATTGGTTCATTAACTAACCATTCTATGTAAGCACCTGTGCTACTTTCAAGCATGTGGTAAGCAATCAGATTTCCTTTGTCCATCTTCCATCTTTCATCTTTCAGTTCTTACTATGATGCTATGCCGTAGACGAGCCGTACCGGATTTTCTGACGATTCGTGAATCAATGCCTCCAGCTGGATACTCCGAAAACACATGCCCCGCTTGAACCCCAGGCACAAGCAGGACCAACCCATCACTCTCCTGTCCCGGGTGTCTAGGTCCCCGTCCAAACTGAGACTCCAAGCCCCGGCCCTGAGTCCCGGACTCAGCGCGGTGCAAGGACCTCCTCCACCAAAATAAAACCCTGACAGTCGGTTCGAAAAGAGCCGGATCCGTGATAAGAGAGCAACAAGTCTTTCAAGCGCCCATACCCAAGTATGTGCTCAGGATAATAAGTCTGTGACTTGCCTAGAGCCTTATGCAACGATTGGTCCTTAACCGACACAGACAGGGAAAGCAGTGTAACCAAGTCATGTCCTGTGTCCGTGGCGACACAACCTCTTACACCTATCAATACCCAAACCATATCTCTGCCCGATCACCATTTTTCCTTTCCACCATTTATATTTTTCAAGTGATAATAATCCATTAAGATATTTCCTATCTCTCGCGAGTGACATCCATCACTCGACTTCTACCGGAGTCCTATAGCATAGCAATCTACACGATTCTGTCATACTAGTAAGACTCATAGGATAAAGATATATATATATATATATGCAAGTGGGTTTCATTCAACTTCTTAAACTTAATGCACACATATAATTTAAACTGTAGCAAAATAGGGGTTATGCACCGGGGCTTACCTTCAGCGGGCACACGGTGTCAGCAAGGTTAGTGACGGGTGGCTTCGGAACGTCCTCCTGCACAAGGATCTCCTCCTCGTACTCTTCGACGACTTCGTCATACTCCTGCTCGTCCGTAGTCACGAACTCTACCAACTCGTTATCTACATGCATAAAATGATGATGCAACGCTTAGTAATATGACAACAGCAACTCTTAAAATAAGAATACATCTACCAAGCTACTAAGCTAACTCTAATGACTAATACGCAAAGTTACATATTATTTCCCACTAAACATGTATGAAACATTTCATGTATTATCTTAGCAACTAAAGGCATCCTTATTGTTAATATCAATTTACTATATATATGATAAAACAAGGTGCACTAGCTACCATATTTATCAACCTATTCTAAGGTCATAAAAATTACAGTGAGTACATAATAATAAAATGAACCTGCTGTAAAAGAACTTTAGGTCTAGCACTTCTACCGATGCATCACAAAAAAATTCATTATTTAAATAATCATAACACTAACAAGCAACCTAGAATTAATAAGTAACCCTAAAACATTGCAGAATTATACGAATTAATTACACTAACAGATAGATCATGAATTTAGGAATCTAACAAAATTTATTTTACAATAAATAAATAAATTTAAATGAGCTCTAGAGATGAAGAAAATGATATTATCGGAGGAGGCTAATCATGCTATTGGACTTGTTGACTAGCACGTGACTGTGAGTCTAAAAATAATGAAGAAGGAGAATGAAGAAATCCTTGCAGGTTAGCTACCTCGGTCGATTACAGCTCGAAGAGGGAGATCAGCAGAGCGCAGCCTTCCCAAGCAAGAACAGAGGAACTCGATTTAGATAGTAAGATGGTGAGCGGCGGAGTGGGACGGCTCGACGGGCTTGGCGTGTACTTTATAGGCAGGAGACGCGAAGGCCGGAGGTGGAGCTGGCATTTGGCTAGCTGGTCATGTGAATTGGATTTCACGTGATGGACTTGGAGTGGGTCTTTGATCATGAGTGAATTAATTCAAATGATGGACTTTGAGTGGTCTTTGGTCATGAGTAAATTAATTCAAATGATGGACTTTGAGTGGTCTTTGGACTTAACGAGCACATCAGGACTGGAGTGTGCTTTGGGCTAAACGTGCTTGGTGGTGGCGTGCTGGTTCATTCATGCAGGTCAAGGAATTAATGGAGGAGGAGACCACAGGTCAAGGAAACATTAGAGAATGAGAAGATCAATGCAGACTAGCTATCTCAGCTGATTATTATAGCTCAGAAGAAATCGATAGACGCGGCTTTCACGGGCAAGAACAGAAAAACTTGATTTGAGATAAGCAAGTGAGCAGTGGAGTGGAATGGCTCGGTGTATCTTTTTAAAGGCTGGGGACGCGAAGGCGCGACAGCGACGCGTCGTAAGGTTAGTGGCTAACTAGCTTGCTTAAAGGTAACAAAACGCTGTGCACGCGTGCTGCTCGGGTGAACAGTGTTTCTACGGTGAACAACGCTTCTGTGGTGAACACTACCCGACGTGCAAGCTGCAGTGAACCGTGTTTGGATTTCAGGTGATGGACTTGAGTGGTCTTTGTTCTTTCGACATGTCAATTGGGTTAGTTGATTCATGATGGACTTGGAGTCGAGTGTGTCTTTGTCGTGTCAACGGGGCTAATCAACAATAAAGAGTGTATGTGTGCTAATTAAATTAAGAAGGGAGAAGGAGAAGATCATTCGCAGACTAGCTCAAGACGAACAAGCAAGGAAACGCGTGCGGGCTCGGTTACTTCTTAAACACGATGGCAGGACGGCCAGGCCCAACGTGGCCGGCAGGGCGTGCCGGTTGGCACGGACAAGACTGCGGCCGCAGAGACAAGCAAGGCAGACAATCAGAGAAACAGAGACAAATAGTGAGGGAGGGAAAACAAGGAGCGGCTCGACAAATGTAGACAGAAGTAATCAAGTTAGAGAGAGAAGCAAAGCAAAAGCCAGGGAGTAGGGATGCGGATAGATGAGGAGATTTTACAATGCAGCGAATTGCAGGGCCACGATGAGAACGAGACAGTGATCAAAAGTAATACCAGGCGAGTACGTTGCACATCGGAAAAATAAACGAACCTGCTGCGCTCTCTTTCTCGTCAGTTCGTGCTTAACAAAATAAACCCGTGAGTTTTATATATATGTATCGTTCTATTTATTAATGGATTTTATTTTATTTATAAAAGTTGATTTTCATGCTTAATCTAACCGAACAAACCGTTTGCTAGAATCGTCGTCGGACATTCCTAAATATTTCTACGCACTGAGTAATTTAACCTAGATGTTTATTCGTGTCCATAAAACTGGGTCACCGGATTCGCTTATCGCCTCAAGTACATTTTAAACTAAAAACACGAAAAACTCATTTTGAAAATTTTACTTAGGTCTAAATCATGGTGCTAAATAAGATCATAACACTAGGTGTTACACTGGCTTACATAGCTCGTGTGACTCAAATATATTCCCGCCCTCCCGTTAACTTCATACACTCCTTTTTGCTCCGTTTTTGTTTTAACTAGTTGCATGCAACACCACATGTTACTCCTAGGTCCGTTCCGCTGGTAACGGCCAATTTTTTTTTCTTATATTGGCCAATTTTTTTATGTGGCAGCAGACTCATGGAAATTCAAATGAAAGCACGATGAGATTGCGGGAAATTTAACAAGTGGCACAGCCTGCGAAATTGGATGTAGGCGCAGGGAAGAGGAAGCGAGCCACGCGATGCCGATAGTGATAACGATATTTTGTGCGCGTTAATTAGCATGAATGGTTAACAACTTACTTATCTATCATAATAAGAAAAAAATATTTTGAAGACCATCAATATGATATTGCTACATATGGCTAATAATATAGACCGGTTATCTAAAGTTTAGGGCGCGTTCGGTTAGAGGATACCTGCCCAGGAATAATTCCAGGGCATCTAAGATCATACAAATTAAAGGAATAGTTCCATGGCAAGATTCCGTATGAACCGAACGATGCCTTAGAAATCTGGATATCTAAATTATTATCATTTTATTTTGTTTATCTGTAGCAACACGGCAAGTATCCTCGGTTAAGCCGGCTGATGTTGTGCTAGAGAAAAACACGGTACGATCAAACCCCACCTGAACCGGAAACCAGGTTTGCAGAAGTTTGCAGACACACGCGCTCCCCTAGGCCCCAAAGCCCAAATACTCGCTGATCCTTCCCCTCACAAGTCGCAGTCTAGTCTCTCCGTCCGCCCAAGTCCTCTCTTCGTCGAGACGAGTCGCGTTCCTGTTCGCCGCCCCGCCGCCCATCTCCCAATCCGGACTCAGATCGACCCCTCCTCCTCTCGGTGAGTACCCTAGCTTGCTTGGGCGGGTGGTTGTCGGAGACTTTTTGGAGTTCCAGGGGCGGTTCCTCACTGCGTCCCTGGGCTGGGCGGTCGAATCCAAATCTCGCCTCCTCTCCATTGGGTTCCTTCCGTTGAGTTAGGTTTTGCGTTCTCTGCCGCGGGGCACCCTGATAATCTTCTCGAATCCACTCGTCCGTGTTGCGATCAGGTTGAGGTTGAAGGGGAAGGAACTAGAAGCCTACTGAAAGGTACGAGAGCTTGTCCATAGACGCATATGCATTTGGGTTGTCTGTAGGGAGGTCTGTGGCGCCTGATCCGCGTATTCATTGTCTTCCTCCTGTGCAGGATGGCTGACGATGCTTCTCACGGGGCCAGCAGCTCGACTGTGAAACCTGCTGATGATCCAGAGTCTACCATCGAGATCAACATCAAGACCCTGGATTCACAAGTCCACAAACTTCGCGTGGAGAAGAATGTGAGCATTCTCCTGCCTCCTTCACATTTCTTGTGTGTGTCTATCTGCTTATTTGTTGCTGAACTCTGTGTGGAGTGCTAGAAACTCTATCCACGACTCTGTTGATTTGTGATCCTTTTAGTTAGCATTAGCCATTAGGTGTGGAAATGGTAATATGTGCGTTATGCAATGCTTCTGAAGAGCTAAGTGCTAACCGCCTCATTTTTAGGCACCTGTTTCCGTTTTAAAAGAGAAGGTTGTTGAAGCGACTGGGGTTCCATTGGATCAGCAGCGCTTGATATTTAGAGGAAGAGTCTTGAAGGATGATCACCTCCTATCAGAATACCGTATCCTTTCTGTTTCTGCATCTTGTGTCATGGTTATGAACTGTATACTCGATCCATCTCCATGTTTGTTTCACTTATCCTTTTGGTGAGTCACACTGTGTAATAATACTCCCTCGGGCCAAGTTTGAGAGGCGCAGAGGTCTGAAAAAGTTTCCAAAATTTTCGGACGCCTGAGCTGTTGGACGCAGTTTTCTCTAGGGGCCGACACGCTCGTCTTGTCGTTTCTTGCGCAGAGTAATAAATGCATCTGATACTTGGCCTCCTTCCCAACTGTGCTTGCTCTCGTTTCTCACGGTTAGGACGTGTGGCAAGCAGCATGCAGAAGTGAAACCGAAAGATTTTTGCTGCTGAGAGTAAACGGATGAAGGGGAGTTATTAAGGATCCCTTTGGTCTCGGTGAAAATTACTTATGCCTGTGAAACTTGGATGGAGTATTTGATTGCCTATTTCCTTGTTACCTTCTTTTGCTCCTATTTGCTTAATTATGTTCCATGTTCAGTTAGTGATGGCATAATTTGTTTTTCTGCGCTGTAGAGACTAAGGTTATGGCAATTTGATGAATCAGAAGAATTTCTTTTAAGTTGGTCCATATTTGGTTTTAATGCCTTTCTAAGTGGATTATCAGTTAATGTTACAATGTCACATGCAACCCTATACATTCTGGGGTCTGTGCTAGATTAATGGTTTCCGTCAGTTGGTGGCTGGATATGCCATTTCGCAAAGGAACTTACCTTCACATTAATTTCTATTCAAAATTTTCATTTTTGTATTTTTTTTAATTTTTCCCACTTGTATGATTTTAAAATGCTTTGTTGTGTCATTTACCATCCCAATGCGTTTGTTTCTCTCCATCCAAATTCTGTCACCTGTATCCTTAACAACCACAAGATTTGGACGATGGATATACATTGCATCTGGTCGCTCGGCGTGCAGCAGAGGGCCAGAATTCTTCTGGGGCTTTTGAAGGAAATACACATGCTAATGGTAAGTCATACTGTTGTTTTTGTGACAGCTGGCTACATGATCTATCCTGAACCACCAAGTGTATCTGTATATGCTTCCATGATTTGTTGCCTACTTGCCACCTTATTCCGCATAGCTATCGTCAGAAAATTAAATAGACTTTGTTCTTTCAGCCTAAGGGCTGCAAAAATTTGATAGTTATGTTAAGTAGTGTTAAAATAGTGAGTGCCTAGGTTGGTGCTAAATCTAATTGATCCTAGCCAGTGCTTAGGTTATTAGTTATTACTCGAAGACATGGGCCTGAAAAAAAGATTTTATACTTTTCTTTTCTGTGCAGTAAATGTTACTGGAAATGGAGGATTGTTGGATGATATTTCCAGGGTATGCTTCTCTCATTGTTGATTCTTTCTCCATGAAGTTATCTGATTGCATGGCTCTTGGCTATTTTGACATCTTTATACCTTTTTTTTAATTTTTTTTTTTTTAAATCATCTTTGAAGAAACTACATTTGTGACATGTTAAGGGGTTTGTGCTTTGTTCCAGACTTCTAACGTTTTGTATGTTGTTGAAATAAATACCAATTAATTGACTAGCCATATGGTACATGCCATATAATTCTTCTACTATTTGCAGAGTGTTCGGGATCTTCTGGGTTCCTTAGGTGTTGCAATGTCTGGTGGTGTCACTAACACGGCATTTTCGGTAACGTAGCAGTTCTTCTCAAGATCTAGAGGGGGTACCTTAGACCTAAGAATTAATTGTTTTATGGATGCTTTATCAGGTTCCTTTGACTACCGCGCCAGAAGGACCCAATAATGTGCCCGGAAGAGCTCAGCCAATGAACCCAGCGCAACCAGGATTCTCAGTTCTAAATCATCAAATACAAGTAACACAACTTCAGCCGCCAGGAGCCATTCCTCGCAACATGGTAGATATTTTGTGCATTTTTGCTTTTCCTCCTGTATTTCAGTTTGTACAGCATCATCTTAACTTTAACCAATGATAACAGATTATTCCAGATTCTTTGACAACTCTGTCGGAGTACATGGATCGCATTGACCAAGTATTACAGAATAATGGTACCATTTTTTGTCTTATAGTTGGTTCATCCATTGCTTGCAACCAAAGATTTTTATATTCATTTTATGCTATAAATGAAGGTGCTCCACCATCCAGGGATTCACAAAGCCAGCAACAACCGACAGTAGATGATGCTAATGTCAGCCCGAGATATCCAAGTCCTGATGTTTTGGCTTCAGTTATTGAGAGAGCCCAACAACTTCTTGGCGGCAGTGCATCTTCTGCTCTTTCGGTATGTTACTTATCTTCTGTGGTTATGGTCTGTACCAGTTACCCCTGACTCTTTGAGAGTGATATTTTGTTCATCTAAAATGTTTGCCTCCCTGGTTATGTTCTGCTAAATTTCCACTTCTGTTCTGGTGGTCACTGTAAACACATTTAGTATTATGGGTTGTCATATTTTGTGCAATTCTGTGAGAATCTAGATAAGATAAACTGAAGGACTAGTGAATTCTTGACCACCCTTAAACAGCAACCCTGGTGTATAGTCAGGGCATAAACTATGTTCTGGCTTCAAGGTGAAATTATCAATCCGCAAGCAACTTTTATAATATATAACGTCAGCTCACTGTTTATTGTTTATAATGCCTGCATGATTTCCTGAGTAGGTCTAAACCTTTTTTACATGTTGTGGCTTTTTCCCTTCTTGGATGCAAAGTTGCTGTTGAGCTGCATGGTTCAGTTTTTAAATTTTAACACACTTTCAATACTCTGGATTTATGAACCAATAGATGCAAACTTTTCTGTGGATGTCTTCAAGTTGTTATTGAGGAACTCCTGAATTTATGGATGCAGAATTTTCATTGAAAACATCTGTGACTTTTATGTACCTAATAATTTTCTGTTTCAGCACATTGCACAACGTATTCGGCAAGATGGTGGGACTGCGGATGCATCTCTTCGCCGTGAGATCCAAACTGAATCTGTTCAGCTAGGAATTTCGATGCAACATTTGGGTGCTATGTTTTTTGAGCTTGGTCGGACGATGATGATGCTCCGCACAGGGCTATCTCCTGTATGCATAATTTGTTTTTCCTTCATGTTATGTAACTAACTTTGTACATGTCACCATATTGAAATATTTTAATTCTGCAGTCTGAGGCTTTTGTAAACTCTGGGCCTGCTGTTTATATAAACTCCACAGGACCAAACCCAATCATGGTTCAGGTGATAGTTGCTACACCTTTTTCATGCTAGTTTTGATGGTCAAGAGCGTTATAACCTCATCAACACATTTTCTCTGTGCAGCCATCTTATCAAAACACCCCTCCTTTTGGTGTATCTAATATACCAGTTATGGGTGGAATTTCTGGTGCTTTTGGTATTGTTGATCCTTCTCGATCATCTGGTTTCGGTGATCCTTTTCGACGTATGAATGTCCCAAGTAGCGGTAAGGTCACATTTCAATGCCTTTCAACTACTGGTTCCCTCTTGTTAGGGTCTTGAACTGGAGGTCCTCTGAACAAATTGTCTCTGTATTGGGTCGTTAGATAGGCATAAATTGTTTATAAAATCCAATTGCGTCTTTACAGCATTGTTAAACTGATTTTATTTCTTAATTATACTAAGTTATTATAATTTGTTTGAGATGCCAGATGTTTACATCTCCTATTTGCTATTCTAATATCATGAATTGGATACCTCATAAACCTTATGTGACTGTGTGCTGGCATGATTGGACTAAAGTGTATACAATACTTATATTTGAAGTTCAAATTAGTGTTAGGTGCAGTATCTTTCAGATTTGACGTGTGTCATCAATGTACTTGCTAGATTAAATACTCTGTTCTCGAGTATCTTCTGGAATATCCTGGAGTTCATTTGCACATGGGAATTTATATTATTTTGCTAACTAGATCTTTGATTCTTCCACCTTTGTGTCTAGCTGGCTTCCCCTAAGTAATATTTCTTTTCATTCCCTAACTTAGGTGCATCTGCAACAAGTGGTTCAGCTGCTGGTACTACCACAACTTCTGAAGGAGCTATCAACGGGAACCGCCAAGATGCGGCAAGAACTCAAGGAGGTAACACACCGGGTCACCCGGCTGCAACACGTGGATTGCCAACCAGAACAGTTGTTGCTGCTGTTCCAGCACGGTCCTCAGCCGAGGCTCCAAACCATGTCTTTAGTGTTATTCTGCCTGTTCAAGTGAGGGGCCAAGTTGCAGTGCCTAATCAGTCCTCTCAAGGTTCTCAAACAGCAGTGGGCAATGGAGCTCAAGGAAATTCAACATCTGCTGGTCCACAAGCTTCTGTTGGTGGTGTTTCTGGTGTTCCTCCTATAGTGGCACAGGTAGCCAATGCATTGGCCGCAAATGCACCAAGCCAGGTTTCTTTATCTACACAAACTGCAGCAGATCAGGGATTTCACCCGACCATAGACAGCAGAGCTGATGTTCTAGTTCTTCAACACCAGCCACTACACCACCGCAGAATGATCCCTCAGGTTAGAATCATGGATAAACTTCACTTAAAAAAGTGCAACATCATGTGACTGAACCGGGTCTTTCGAATAGGGTGTTACGAGTTTTTTTGTAGACCTCTTAATGATATTCACCATTCCTGTTGTTAGGTATTTGTGGTTCCAATTTGCCACCTCAAGACAGGAATACTTTAAATGTTCCCAGTCTTGACAGTATACAACAGCATCCACAATTGGGAGATACTTGTGCAGATACAGCCGACTTACCAGGAGACGCCACAGCCACCAATACTCATGATGTTCCTTCGAACGCATCAGTAGAAAATTCTGCGCTGAAGAACAAATTCTCGGATGAAGTAGGTTCACAGCCCACTGAACCTTCTGCAAGTGACAGTGCTGAACCATTAGGTCTTGGCGGAGGTCTGATTCCAAAGGTATTAATTAGTGACTTTTAAGTGTTTATTAGTCTATCAGGATTCCGTTGTTTGGTCTTCATTTTTGTGTTTATTCTATTTGCCAAGTCACATATTTGGAGTTTGTTTTATTTTACTCTTGTTTGATTCTATCAGTAAGTTACATGTTTGGAGTTTGTTCTATGTTTCTATTGTTTAATTGCTTCTTTTAACAACACTTGTAGAAACGGAGCAGAGCAGTAAAGCCATCTGGGAGCACAACTGATCCTGGTAGGGATTCATCGTTAGTCAGCCAAAACCAAGATCCTATTTCAGTGGCCCAGCAGTTTCTGGAAGGTTTTGCTTCCCGAAATACTAATGCTAGCAGAAGCAATGCCCCCGCCTCTGGTCCTCCATCCTCTGTGCCACAGCCTACTGAAGTTCCTCCGAGAAGACAGGGTGGTGGACAACCTGATATTGGCAGCATGATATCTGGTATGCTCAACAACCCAGTTTTCAGCAACATATTGTCGAATGTTGCAACACAAGCAGGGGGCTCAAGTGCTGATTTGAGGAGCGTGATGGAAGGATTACAGAGCCCTGCTATTGTGGATACGATAAGCAGTATCGTGCAGAATGTGGATGAGCAAGACCTTGGGGCCATGCTTGGTTCAGGCAGGGGGCAAGGCGGCATGGATTTGTCAAGAATGTTGCAGCAAATGATGCCTGTTGTATCCCAGGCTCTTGGTGGAGCAGGGGGCCGTTCTGCTGGTGCAAATAGTAGACAATCTAGGTCATGGCCTCAGCGCATTGACAGTGGAGAAGGAAATGTACCAGCTAGCAGTTCTCAGGTAAGCTATTCTGTGTAGTAGTAATCTCTTGTATTTGCATTTGTAATGTATATGCTGCCTGTGCTGTGTGTTTGGTTTAGAGAGCAAATACTGTATGAATGGTTTACATTATTCCGCCATATTGATGTTCATTGTTCTTCTCAGTTATGCAAACCCTCTTTGGTCAGTATTACTTTCCATGGATGCTTTTGCATAATTGGATGTTAAGAGCCTAGAAAGGCTAATATGACACTAGGGCAAGATTATTGTATGCTTCTGTAACTCTTCCTGTATGAATTTTAGTTAGGCCTATCAGGCTATCACGTCTTTTGTAGGTATCTCACAGTTTTTTGTATTCCATGGCCAGATTGATCTCAACCAAGCTCGTCAAAGCATTGAACAACATGAATCTCCAGAGAATATCTTCAGCTCTGTCCTTGAAACTGCTGCTCAGGCCTATGGCGAAGATGACAGCATTCAAGGAATGATCGAAGAGCTTTCCAGTGATCAAGAGCTTACCGATGTATGCTTTCCACACCGTTTCAGTTGCACAATCAATGTATAATAACCCTGTCTGGTTTCTGATGTTAGGGTTGCTAATGCTAAACTTGCTGCTTTTGTTAGGAATACTTGAAATTTTTGGTGGACCAAGTTCGGCAGAGGGTACAGTCAGAGTCGCAGTCCGGGAGCCAGCCTTGAAGAATTGGGTGGCAGGGTCGTGAAGCCAGCCATTCGCTGCAAATCTGCAATATTTATCGCTAACTTGGAAAAGACAGAACCAAGACTTGTTTGGGCGTTTTCATGATTATTAGGTGCCCGCTGTACATGTGGCGTTGTAATTTTCAGAGATGATGTATTTGCGGCAGCATATTCCATACTCTGGTTAAAGCTGTTTTTGACAATTTTTCTTAGTGGTACATACAGCGAGTTTTAAAGGTGCAGTGTACTGTTAAAACTGTTTTTGACAATTTTGCTAGTGGTACTTAGAGCGAGTTTTTAAGGTGCAGTTGGTCTGAATTTTGTGGATATAATTGTTAATGTGGTGTCTGTGGTTGTCGTAGCGACTCTCCAATTGGGAGGTCCAGGCAAAGTTTGTTTCGCAGGTTTGCACTTTGCACCCCTTCCTCGCGTGCATTTTGCCGGAACTTTGGCGGCCTTCGGCGTGCGCCCGGCGGCCTGGAAACCAGCGGTTGCCCCATGAATCCCTGCAGCCCAAGAGTCTGTCTAAGTGTGCTTTGAGTATATAGAACGACAACAGTGGATATTTGCTTCACCGATGACCGATCTAAGACAAAGAACATTGTTATCTACGGTATGCATCATTCATCATATCATAGTAATAGACTGAAGATACAAATGTAGTAACAGGCCAGAAATGGAAAATTTGTTCCTGACCACAATATCCAAACAAGAAGATTCTTCTTTACCTACGCTGAAGTACTCCCCCTTCCCAGAAAACATGATATTTTAGTATTCATTTTTTTTCCAAAAAAGGCTAGGCTGGGCCCCTAAAAACTTGATATTTTAGCTCTTGAAACTACGCTGAGCATATATCTACTTGATATTATGATCTGCATTTCTCTATGCATTCCTTTTAATCGCGAGGTACTTAGATGAACTGACGAACGACGATGGGAAGTCTCGGACGTCCCGCCACTCGTGAGCATGTTTTCTGGTGCTGACCAGGGCACCAAACATTCTGAGAGCGAGAGGCAGGCCCTCGCAGTTCTGGACGATGTCTCTGCCGATGGCCACCAGCTCCTCCCGCTCCTCCACTCCACTGCCAAACGCGTGCTTCGAGAACAGCTTCCACGAATCCTCCTCGCTCAGCCCCGCCAGCTCGTGGGGCGGGAGCGTGCCCATGATCTCGCCCACCCGCGTGCTCCGGCTCGTGACGACGACGACGCTTCCCGGCGCGCCGAAGCCGCAGGAGCACAGCAGCGGCCTCAGGTCGTCCACCCACCTGCGCTCGTCCTCGTTCCACACGTCGTCCAGGACCAGCAGGAACCTCCGCCCGCCGATGGCTTTCTTGAGCCGGTGCACCAGCAGGTTCAGGCAGTCCGGCACGTCGCACCTTGCGTCCGCGGCCGCCTCGACGACGGACCTCAGGACGGCGTTGGTCCCGAACCGGCCGCAGTCGCCGACCCAGTCCCACATCGTCAGGTCGAAGTGCTCCTGCACCCTGGCGTCGTTGAAGACCATCCTGGCGAGCGTGGTCTTGCCCACGCCGGCGGCGCCGGTCACGGCCAGCACCTGCGCGTCCCGCTGGTCGCGCTGGCCCAGCAGCAGCTCCACCGCCGCCTCCACGTCGCCGTCCCGGCCCACCACCCACCCGGGTGGGTCGTACATCAGCGAGCTCGTCTGCCGGAACGCGGCCTCCGGCGGCTGCGCGGCGTCCAGCAGACCGCTCTTGTACACCACCCGAACCACCGTCTGGACGCGCGTCAGCGCCCTCCGCACGTCCCTGGCCGCGGCGCACTGCGCGCGCGCGCCGCCGGGTTCTGAAGGGTCAAGTACCTCAGCGCCCTGCGCGCGCGCGCCGCCGGCGTCTGGGCCTGATGGTCGTCCTCGGACTCGCGGCGACGGCGCTCGAAGCTGTCGAGGACGCCCTCGGCATACGCCGCGACTCTCCTGAAGTAGTCGATCCACGCCCTGACGGCAAGGCCCCACGCGCCCTCCGGCCCCCGGCTTTTCGCCTCGGCGCGGGACAGGAAGGCCCGCCCGGTCATCAGCTCGAGCTCCAGGATGTTGCGGTTGAACTCCACATCGTCGAAATCGAAACGCGGCATGGTGGACGAACGACGAAGGTAGCTTAATTATCGTTTCAGCCTTTCAGGTTGCAGGACGACGGCGAGGTCGATGAGTCCTGGCCGGTGGCCGCCTCCTGGCCCTGGGTGGTATAGCAGGCTACCCTTGGACTCCGGTGGCTGCGGCAGGGGAATCTCCGGCGATGGACAGGGCGGGGCAGCTAAGCTACTTTTTGTAGATGGCAGCGCGAGCGCGACTCCGGCCGCTTCGTAGTCGGCTCGGACGGGCGTCCGACGTGCGCACGGTTTCCGTTTCCGGGCAGGAAACACTTCCCTTCGCAAAAGCAATGCCGAATAGAAGTAGGCCAGGAGTCGGGCCAGCCCACTATGCGCATTGATAGCCCACGATCCCGGCACAGGCCTTGATCACGCCTGCATCGAACTGGGCTTTGGACCGCCAGTCAACAATCCAGTAAGAGTGGGCCGTTTGGGAAACAAGCGAGGAGAAGGGGGCTTTTTGACTTTGCTTAGGACCAGCTTGTCTACTGTCATTTTTAACACCTGCAAGTAGTTTCCACTTGTAATTCGTTGTTTTGCTAAAAAAAACTTGTAATTTGTTGTGTATAAGAATAGTATTGTTTTTTGTTGAAAAATGATGTTTGGATGGAAAGTTTGTCCGCGGTTGTTAGCGGTGCATTGCTCGCATGTCACTAGCACTGATGCACGGTGGCACGCCATTTCCTTTTAATCATCCGTTTATCCCGTTTAAATGGTCATTTAGCCCGTTTAAGTCTCCGTTTTAGCTCGAATAATGGCTAAATGGCAGGTGATCGATTGTTTACTGTTTAGCGTTTAGTATAACACTGCTTGGAAATTAAAGCACATATTCTGAGTAGGAAGAGTCTATAACACCTCAAGTGTTAGCCACTTGCTAAGCAGTGGGTTTGAGCTTAAACATGACAGATCAAGAGGTAATCAGGAGCTTTGGTTCCTTATCTCTGAAATGGTGATGAAGGTGTTGAGGTCAAATCTATGAAAATGAGCCCAACTTAAATTTGGACAACACACCATTGCTTACATGTTGACCCTTTTCAAATGTATACCTGAGTAATGTTGAAGGTGCTTCTTTCATGTGCCTCATATCAATTTCCACCCACACTGACAATTGGAAAAGTTTCATGAAGTTTGGAATCAAGAAGTCACATGAAATGACAAGTTATAACCTTGATTGAATTGCTTTATTAAGTGAATGGAAACATGGGATGTCGACCAAACCTTGCGACCTTGCTCAAACAGCTCCAATTCGATTCATGAACAAAAGTCATGAAGGGTTCGTGTTGAGTAAATGTCAAGAAAATGCCTCAATTGGTCGAAAACCCTAATTCCAGGGTTTAATGAGGTGCTGCTTTGACCAAGATGAAAATATGATTTTGGGACCAGATATGAAGTTTGACCTTTAATAAAAGTTGAAGTTTGAGTGGAGTACAACAAACTTTATGTTTGGACCAAGCCCCGACTCAACTCCTAAGTGGCTCAAAAAGTGGCCTCAAGTTTGAATGCAGTGTTCCTTTGGGCTCTCATAAATCTTTCTAAGTCCCTGATCGGCAACAGCGAGTTGACATGTTGTGACATTTTTATCTTCAAAATTCATATGGTAACTCAACTGGATTCCTTAATATGAGTTTAAGTACACTTTGTGAAGGAAAAAACAAAATAAGTCTCAGTAGATTGGGAGCTCATTTGGTCATTCAAAGGTTCTCTCCAAAATGGCAAGTTTACTGAATTCGGTCACACTTTGCTGAAACTCTGAAATCCGAATTTCAGTTTCATCTACCTATCTTTGGAGATTTGTATCTTCCTAACCGAGCTGAACAAGTCCATGATCCTTTAAGCAAAGTTGCAGAGCAAGATGTGTACAACAAACATTGTTCAATGACTCAATCCTAAATCACCATCTAAGTTTGTCAAACAGAGGCTCAAAGATTTTCAGACTTAGAAATATTCTAAGTCTGGGATTAGTAACCACTTAATTGACATGCCGCGTTCTCATTTTTTTTGTTAAGCAACTCAACTGGAGCCAAATATAAAAGTTGGACTATATGTTTTGAGGAAGAGCATGCAAAAAGATGGCACTAGTTTGACTTCGTTTTGACCATCAATTTGGATTTTTGCTCATCGTTGTCAATGCGCTGACATTATCATGTTGGGGCACTAATTACCCACTAATATGTTACTCTAATGGTTGAGCACCCTAAATATGAGTTGGAGAGCATCAAGAAAGGAACAATTTTGCTTTAAGGCCCAAGGCCCAGATCGGAGGGTAAGCAGCCCAAAATCACGCCCCAAGCCGGTCACTTCGTCGCCCGCCACCTGTTCGTTGAAATGGGCGTGGCCACCATGCAGGGCAGCAACGCCCCACCTCCTTGCCGCGTGGTCGCGCCCCTACTCCTCTATGAGCGGACGCCCGAGCCCTCCCTCGAACTCCCTCACTTGCTCTCGCTCTCCTTAGCTCTCCCCCTCGCTCTATGGCGCATGCGCGCGGGCACGCCGAGCTCCGCCATGGCCACCATCGAGTAGAGCTCACCAGCCCTGCTCGCTTCTCCCACCGCCGGCCACCCTCATGCAGCCACGCCTAGTTAAGGCCGCTACCGGCTCAGCCATCGCCTCCTCCCTTGTCCCGCGTTGCCTTGCCGACCGCACCATTGCTCACAGCCACCGCCGAAGCCATGGTCCGTCGCCGCCGCCTGCTGCCGCAGCCGAGCAGCTACTGGCTGCAGCCGGCCAAGGCCAGGGACAGGCGCGGCCACGGCTGACCACGCCCAGAGCCCGACCGCCTCCTTCCTCGCCGCCGTCAGCCTTTCCACAGGCCGGAATCCCAAAGCCACGGCTGCCCGCTCTACTCTGTTCTTCGATAGAAGAAGAAGAAGGACCTTGCGCAAGAATTCAAAAAAA